GGTGCTTTTTATTTAACTTCTTTTGGACTGATGCATGCAACACCCGCTGAGTGCCATTAAACAGCTTGAAATTTTTAATATAACTCCGACTGGATTTGTCTGAAAAAAGAAAGTCATATACACCTAGGATGACTTGAGGGTGAGTAATTTATGGGCTAATTTTCATTTTTGGGCGAACTAACCCTTTAATGAAAAAAAATCTAAAACTCATTTAGCCTTTCTAAACAGCACATTATTATGAATCAAAACAAATAAAAAAGAAAATCAGAATGTTTACATCTAAATACTGTCTGACGACTCTCCTCTTGACATCGTAAGTAAGATCTGCATTGGACAGGTTGTTCGTCAGGTAGTCCAGTGTCTGCCGTGGGTTAAAATGCACATTGGCCTTCCTGTTTACAGCCTTATCATAAACCTTTGCAGATTCCGTAGGTGAGTACTTCTGAATTTTACTGCAGGAAGAGACAAAGAGGCATTTGTTATGGAGCCAGTGACCATTAAGGTCATGTCAGACCAGAATGCGTTTGGACCAGTGGGTAAAGCTCACCTGTCAGAGAAGCCGTAGAGGTTCTTAAGGTGCTGCTTGAGCATCAGGAGCAGCAAGATGCCCTGAGAGGCATTGGCAAAATCCAGTAAGGGCTCGGGGTTGTCAGGTAGACGCTGCATGACCTTGTCTACGTCCTCCAAGTCGAGGTCTGAATCTGAGTCAGAGTTCACTGCAGCGGATCGTCTGGGTTTCTTGGGCCGACGGATGACATCATCGCTGCTATCACTATCACTACTGCTTCCTCTGCTACTCTCATCCTCTTCCTCAGAGCCATATTTTTTCCCTCGTTTTTTCTTCTTTTCCCGTGGTCTAGGCTCTTTTAGCAAAGACTGTAATACAAGGCAAGATTGTTAGAAAACTGAATGTCAGCTCTCAAAAAAAAAAAGGGAAAAAAAGGGTGGTGCAACCCTGTTATCAAAATTGACTAATTTTAAAAGCTGTTATTATTCATTAATAAAATAAATACAAATTTTAACAATAAAATTAAAAGTACTAAAAATCATATTTGTTAAATGAAATAAAGCTATATAA